CATCAAACAAATTCATAGAGCTTAGAGATATAATATAATGTAATGTAATATAATCTGTATTAATCTTCTACGTATTATTTTCTAAAATTGTATAAACCTTTGTTAGCTCCAAAAGGATATTGTTTCCTCATAAAAGTATCTAATGGTCTCTCTCTTAATACTTGCATTAACTCTATTTCCCTATCAAAACTTCTTAATTCAAAAGTCAGCAATACTTATTATTCAAAAGTTGTAATACATAAATTGCTTTTGTAATCATCAAGAATCATTGTAGCATTTTGCTTTTACAATAATGAATATACATTTATTCTTCCACTGACTGATAGGAGTTCACTTTGTGAAGCTCAAATGTTATATTACAAGAACGGTTTACTTATATTTGAAAGTAGACGTTCAGTTATTGATATTAACAAGAATTTCAATTATTTGCCTTGTCGGTCTTACCAATGTCATTACTTTGATTGGATTCGATGGCCACCTGTGCCATCATGGACAGCACACAATTCCAGCACAAGTGGAGTTGACCATAGTTTGGCATTTGGCCATCTGGTCTCCCAAAGGCAGAGGCCAGAGCCGAGGTCGAGCGGCAGCTGCAGGCCTCCTCTGATGCGTCCCTACTAATCGCCCTCTGAATGTCCCCTAGTTGGAGAATAAGCGCAAGTGAAGCTCTCAAGCACCCTTGGCTGTCAGACCACAAGCTCCACGCCAGACTCAGCGCACAGGTGACCAAGGCTTATTATCTCCCCTTCTTTTCCTGTTGGCCTGTCTTTAATGAGCAGACGCTAGAGTCATCTTAACCTTAAATGAGGCCCTTTCTAATTCCTTTTCTCACAGCTTTCAAATCTTGTGCTAGTGTTAAATTGCTTAAAATGCTTTCATTGAGCAGTTTGCGTTTTTAAAAAATAATGTAAATTATGTTGTTTAGTAGAGTATTTTCAGCTTATGTGTTCATTGTTAAATCATCGTATCCTTTATAAAATGGATCACATCATTGTACCATGCACACACACTTACACGCACATATACAGCCTATAAACATAAAGTTTTGGAGAATATATGCTAATGTTCATTTGGGAGCAATACGCCTCCTTAAAACAGGACTCTGAATTCTAAATTCCATGCTTTAGTCTGCTCTGGGCACCACGTCTTGACTCTGATACTCAGCTTGGTCCAGATGTCCACGTAAGGACGCGTGAAGGAGACTCCACCCAGAGACTAAAGGCCGACTGTTGGGAGTGACTGAGCCCACGCTTGTCCCGACTCCCGTTCGTATTCCAGCTCCCCCATCTGTCTCTCTGGCACGCATTTCTTTCCCAAGCTTCAGATCCGTATGTCCGCCTGTGTCTAGACGTTTCTGGCTGGATCTTCTCAGCCCTAGCAGACTCATCTCCCTCCACCTTATTTATTCTCAGCCACCCTCCTGTGAAGGCGAAGGGTGCTGCTGAGGGGCCTCACCCACACCCCGGGCATCTCCTTTGCTTCCTTCCTCTCCCGCAACGCCCGCCTCACATTTAATTTATCCGTAAGCTCTGTACGTCGTATCCCCTGTCCGGCTTTCTCCACTCCCCTGCTTGTCCTGGCTTGGGACGTCCATCACCCGAGTTACAACGACAGCCTCCTACCTGGCTTCTCTGCCTCCTTCTCGCTGTCTCCACCCAAACAACTGTGACTGTGTAAATAACACAGAAACGGATGCACAGTACCTAAGTAACACCCCCGAGCATTTAGGACGTTAGACTGGGTGAGCTACACGGAGAGGCGACAGGCGAGCTATGCCTTCCGGCTCGCCGGGGCGGCCCGCCGAGTGCCCCGCGCAGGGGCTGGTGCCATGCCTGCCCGGCGCGGCCCTGTGTGTTTCCGCCCCTCTCCCTTTGCATCTTGCTCTCTTTGCTCCCTGGGGTTTGGGAATGGAACTTTTTCACTGACCAACAAACCGTGGAGTGACTATGCTTCAGATACTCACTTTTTCCACATCCAGTTTTTATTGAAATTAACTTTACTTCTAAATTCAGCATCAGCACTAAGTTTTATTTGTGTCCGAGTATACCTTTCCTTGATAATTGGTACTGATGTCAAGTAAAAATAGCCTTATTACCTAGTCAGTACCTCACCCAGACTACATAAACTGCTTATTAGGGTGACCAACTTATTTTGAGCCAATTTTCCACCAATGTATTTTTATCCAAGCTTATTGGTGTCCAAATACACTTTGACGTGGTAGGACAATATAGAAACCACAGCAGATAATTAATGACATTATACAGTTTAAAAAGTGTATAAAAATATTTTTTAAACCATATAACAACAACAACAACAAAAATCACCTTTTGTTATTCTACCCAATTGCCGGTACCTGAGGTGAATAGATATTTCAAGAATGGTGACAATTTTTCTTTTCTTTCTTTTTTTCTAAAAAAAAATTGCATTTTATAAATCTTGGTATCAGTAAAGTTATAATTATATAGCGCTGTGGAGGTGCCGTTTTAACTGCTTTACAAAAATTTACTCACTTAATCCTCATACCAACCCCCTGAAACAGGTGGCGTCATTAACCCCATTATGTAGCTGAGGACACTGAGGACAGGGCTGAGTTCTGGAGTCCGGGGCAGAGCTTTACCACTGTGCTATCCTGCCAGGTGACAGGCTGCTGAGTGCAGGGGACCTAAATGATGTTTCCAGAACCATTCTTGTACCATACATTTCTGGTGTTACTGAAAGCCAATCTTCAAACTTAATATATCTTATTTTTCAATGAAATATTGACATGACATTTTTCTCAGAAAATTTAGTTTTGGAATCATCTTGGTTCTGATATGTGCTCTTAATATAAAATCAGAATTTACCTTTATGTGGAAAATTTAATTCCAATCTAAAACTATTTGCCATTTCAACCTAAATTCTATTTTAAAGGTCTTTTATACATTTTAATTTCTCTTTTGCTTCATGCTTAAAAGCACTTACTATTTCTTTTTTTTTTTTTTTT